TGGCTCCCGTGTCCCCAGGTTCCCGCTGCACAGGAGCAGAGCCTGGGACGGGCTCCCTCCGCCATGGGACCCTCGGGAGGCTGTGCCGCTGAGAAGGTTCAGGTTAAAGTGCTTGCTTTGTTTTTTTGCATGGGATGCTGAGGCCAAACCTCACTTCGACTGAGAACATCTCCCCTTCACTCCCAGGAGTGCCAGAAACCCCTTTCGAGGAGCCTCCCTCCTCCTCGATCACCCAGTGACCAGAGATCTCTCGTGCCCTGCTCAAGCTCAGCAGCGCTCAGGAGATGCTGTGATCAGGAAAGGCCACGAGCCCAAGGGGATCTGCTCTGAAGGCTCCACAAGTGTCCGAGGGGAAACCCGTTCCTCTGCTGCTTGCAGCAACTCCCCTCTAATATTGTCTCTGATCAGCTCCTACCAAAAGTGACTTTTTGCATAGTACTGCTCGTCCCCTCCCCGTGGGTGATGCCACACGGACGGTGCAGGCAGCCCGTGTCCTGCAGCCAGCTGGAACGGGGGCAAAAGAGCCTCAAGAGCAGCTGCAGGGCCAGGGACTGCTGCAGCCACGTGCGCAGGTGTGGGGCCAAGTCTCTACATTTCCAACCGTGTCTCCTTGTCCTCATTAACGGGACAAAACGTGTAGCAAGAGGAAGCACAGGCCCAGGGCTGCCCTGGGGAGAGGGCTGCAGGGGAGCAGGAACACCATGATCCGCTCCCTCTCCCCATCCCACTGCAATGGCCAACAGGACTTGGCCCTCTGCATCCCGGTGCAGGTGGTGCCTCCCCTTGCTCTTCTTCCAGCTGCTGGTGGAAACTGGGAAGAGCCTCTGAGAGCTCATGGCAGATCCTCCTCCTCCCGGCCCCAGCCACCTTGCTCCATGCCAAGGAGGTCTCCAGCCTCGGAGGCCACCGGCAGCGTCGGGCTCTGGCGCCTGCCCCATCTCGGGGCTGGGCAAAACTACCAAGCCCGGGTGCAGCCACCTCACGCTCCATCCCCGAGCGTCCCTGTCCCGTGTTGGGATGGAATGTAGCACTTGTGACACACAGCAATGGGAACACTGGCAGCAGTCATGTAAGCGTGAAGCAAACATGGCATTGCTTACAAGGTGCAGCAGCAAGGGTGCCCGGACCACCCAGCACCGGGCCTAGATGATATCCGTCTCCCTCTCTATGCCAACATACTTCAGGGCATCTGCCTGGCTGTACCTATAAGACAGGAAAATCACAGCTGCTGTCACGATCTCCTGTGCTCCCTGTAAACACGTGCACATAAAACAGTCCCGACCCCCACACCGCAATCCCCACGTCACCTGTAGTCAAAGAAGAGCTCCTCTCCCGCCTGGATGGCCCTCTTGGCAAAGATTCCTATCCGATGGTCTCCGTTCACCATCACAACTGCAACCAGAGAGGTGGGATCAGAACCTTGCAGCTCTCCAGCGTAGGCTGGGCAGCCACACGCGCTCTTCCCTGGCCTGGCTACCTGCCCGCCCCTGGGCCAGGGTACCAGAGCACCTGCCTAGCGTGGACAGGGCACCTCTGGGTGCAGCTCGCCACCCCATGGCAGCAGCCACCTCTCTTTGCAGAGCCAGGGCCACGGCAGACCTGAGCAGGGCCCTCACCAGCACAGATGCGATTTGCTGCAGAGAGAAGGAGGATTCGTCCACGTCTTTGACGTTCTGCCGCTCCCCTGGACTCAAGGAGGCTCAGGACCCTGGTGAATCCTCTGCATTCCCAGAGCTAAGCAGGATTCCAGAGATTGCTTTACCTAGCAGGATCTGCCTGGGAAGGGATAGCTCACCTTTGGCATAGCAATTGGGGTTCACCGAGTGGTTGGCAAAGCGGATTTTATTTCCTTTGCGTGTGGCATCAACAACAAAATCTGTTGAAATAAAAAGAGAACTCTCTAGCACCCTGCAAAGAGGAGGCTGCTGCACCTGAGACAGATGGGCAGACCCACATGCCCACCCACCAGCCCCCAAAGCTGTGGGTACAGGCATGAAGCACAGGCATCTTCCACCCCCTCCCTGAAGCATCACCCAAGTTACCGTTGTTGAGGTTGAAGAGGAAGCTCGACATGTACTTGTCATAGACCTTGCCTCGCCGGTCAGCCTCATCCTGTGAAATAAGCTGGAGAAGGAGAATGCTCTGAGAGGGATTCAGTGGCTGAGGGCACAGCAAGGACCCCTGTATGGAATAACGTTCCTGTAGCTCCGGGAAACACCCTCCTGCCCTCCCACACAGAGGGCTCGTAGCTCTTGAGGGCTCAGGGAGGCTCAGAGGGAGCAGAGTTTGGCTGTTGGCCTCCCGGGGAGCAACACATACGGGGGGAAACTGCCCTCTGGTAGAAGATCCGGAGATATTGAGGTGGCTCCCAAACAGGAGGGTGCAAAATTCCATCTCTAACCCTTGCCAGGGTGAGCCCTTCGGCCAGACCACGGCTGACCTGGGTCAGGAACACTACCCCTGAGCAGAGGCCGACCAGCACCCGTGCTAAGCACTCACTCCTAATTGCACAGCAGGCCCAGCAACGCACGCCTGCAGGGCAGAGGCACTGACCTCACCACAGTACTCAGAGATAAATTCATTTTTCTGCACAGATTCCTTGATGAACGTCCCCCAGCCAGCGACATCAGACGGTGCCAGCAGCAAATGCTAGAGCCAGAATGAAATGAAAACGGTCACAGGCTGCAGGTCTGCCACCTCCCAGAGCAAAAGCAGTCCAGAGCCACTGCACCGCGCTGCCTGCCCCGCTCTTAGTCCCAACGTCATCATGTCAAATAATTTAGGAGAAACAAAATAGGAGTCAGCACACATCCTTTTTGCTTGTGTAATTCTCTCTAGATCTGCACCTTCTTAATCCAAGCTCCCAGGTAAATGCTATAGAAACATGGGCAGAGCAGCTCCCCTGCCCTGATTTCCTCCCTCCTTGTGGGCAGCCCACGTCCCCGCTGAGAGTTGAACTCAACACCCCTGCGCCATGGCGCTGCAGAGCAGCTGCCGATACCTTTTTGAGGCCCCGCTGGATGCTGCAGTTCTTGCAGGAGACCACCTTGCAGTTTTTTTTCTTCAGAGAACAGATGGGAAGGCGCTGCCCAAAAGGAAGCTGCACATGAACCAAGTCACACCCGGCAGGCTGTGGGGACCTTGCGTGCACCGTGACCAACAGCCACCTTGGCAAGCAGGTGTCTGTGAGCTGGGGACACGCTTTACCTCCACGCTGCTCTGGGCCCCCAGTCTGCCCTCCCGCTTCCCCGAGCCACCACGACAGGGCTCGCTACAAAAAATGCACCGGGACAGGCAAGGTGAAGTAGCCAGAGCACCCAGCTGGGGAAAGCAATAAATCACAGAAATATTCTGTCTATGAAGGAGCAGGGACATATGCAGATTGAAAAATAAGCATCTCTGATACTAAAACATAGTAAAACTGATGAGTAGAGACAAGTTTGGAGCCTGAGTTGGCTCCCTGCCATGCTACAGTCCTTACAGACCCCAAGCTGCATCCTAACCCTTAGGCAATTCACCCTCTGAGGCCCTAGTGATGTGGGCAAGTGCTGCCGTCTCCATCCCAGGACTGGGAATGCAATTCCTCAGGAAGGAAGAATGACTGTGGCAGAGCAGGGACCAACTCGCTTCCCAACCCCAGGCTCACACCCTCCTGTCATCCAGTCAGCAGCATCCCAGATGGCTTGTTGATGCTGGATACACACATGTAGATGAGCACCCTCCAGGGAGCATGTGTTTCCTGCTCCTGTAAACCATGGGCAACACAGAATATACATCTTCCCTCAAGCTTTTACTTCGACCTGAGCAGACTGCTAATGAAACTGCTGCAGATGGAGTGCAGAGCACTCCCTGTGAATGCAAAAATAAAATAAGCTGTTGGCAAGTCCCAGGTCTACACCCTCCCTCTGGTCTTTGTCAGGAGAGCTGGCTGTTATCATGTGTGATAGTCCCAGGCTTTTCCTTACAGTCAGGGTTGCACTGGCAGAACTTCTCACAGAAATTCTGGGTCATAATGCAAGGGCAGGAGCTGTCACAGGGGTGTTCAGGGTGGTCGCATGGCTGGTAGTTGTACACCTGGGTAGGTGAATTATCTAGAAATAGAGGAGAAATGACAAGATCAGGAGCAGCATTTTGCAGAAACATTCCAGAACAAGATGCCCTAGACTCTGGAGCAGAGAACGTGCAAGTTCTCCTTTGGCCTGCAGAGGGCAGGGAGCCCAGCAGCACCGCAGCCCATCGCGTCCCTCGGGCGCAGCGCTGTGATTACTAATACATGACACACGTCTGCTTCGCCCTCGAACGGCCCGTTTTGCAGCGGGACTGCACGCCAAAGCTCAGCCTCCCCCTCCGATGGGAGCACGAGCGGACTGCACGTCCTGCCTCGGAAAGAACGCTGGCACGGCAGCGATGCACGTGGAGCGACCGCAGCGAGAGCTCGTCCTGCCGCAGCCAAGCGAGGCCGGCGGAGGGGAGCTGCTCTCCGCGCTCCACGCGGCTGCAGCTGGAGCTGCCAGGCCGCAGGGAAGGACTCGACTCTCCCACGCTGGAAGTCAGAGCCTTAGAACTCCCTTCCTCGGGTGAGCAGCCCTGCAAACAGCCCCCAGCACGGCAAACGCTACCTTTCTTCAGCTGAATCTTCCTGCAGTGCGCAGCCCACAGCCTGAAAGGGAAGCAGAGAGAGTGTCTGAGGGGAAGTCATGAGCTTCCACGAGGAAAATCCAGCCAAGACTGACTGTTCCCGACATCACTGCAGTGCAGCGTCTGCAGAGAGGCGGTTCCAGGGAGCCTGACAGCTTCATGCATTAATAACCACCAGACAGCCAAAAGAGTGGAAAAACAGGGGAACGATCCAGCTACACCAGAAGTTACTTAAGGTGAGCACTGAAGCAGGATAGTATCCTGGAACAGCACAGGAGCTGGGTAAACCGGGATTAGCACAAAAAAAAGTGGGCTGCGAGACAGGGAGCTTGGACTAGGACAACACGACTGGCCCTCTCGCAGCGCCCACCACGCTGCCCTCTCCTCCAGAGCTAGGCCCGTGGGCACTAAACCACACAGCTCGCTAAGTAGGGCAGCCACACCAGGGACCCGGCGAGGGGCCCATTCCCAGCCAGCACAAGCAGCCCTGTGTGACACTGGGAAGCGTGTGCAGATGGGAGCCAGATGGGGATTACCAGGAACACTTTGGCACAGAAAGCAGTGGATCTGGTTGCACTTTAAGAACAAAACAAGCTTGTCCAACACTTGCCTGTGCTTCCTTTTCTTCTTCTGGGATGGATTCATTAATTCGTTTGTTGGCAGTTTTGTTATAAGCGATTCTTTCACTGCAAACTGAAAGACCTACCAAAAGACAACAGAAGCAAAAAGAAGAATAAAGTTCAGGGCACTCGAGTCATTTTTATCTAAAGCACAAACAGAGAGAGCACAAGGAAACATGCACAACAGGCCTCCCACTGCCTGGGCCAAAAGTGGGGCAGTTCTGCTCCCAGTTTCACTGGAACAGGAGTCATTGCTAATTGTGCTTGGAAAAGACAACCCTCCACCTCGCCAGAGCCAAGCCTCAGAACGGGCACCCTGGAGAATCTAACAGCACTGGACATGTGCAGGGCTATTCTGCGAGCAGCAGCACTTCTGCAAAAGAAAAGGCTGCAGCAAAATGAAGCCGGTGGCAGTGACTGTTTTCACCATACCCAGCATCTGCATCCAGCACAAGACCCCACTTTGCACTGATGCAGCACATTCCTCAAGGTGATTTGTGACAGAGAAGATAAAAAAAAAAATAGCAAGCAGTGGCAAAAGCCTCCTTCTGTCCTTGTGCCACGTGCTGCAGCGCCTGCCCTTTCCAGGGTACGCACACAAGCAGCCCGGCTGTACCTGTTTGCACGTCTTGGTTCCCAGCAGCCTGGCGATGGAGCAGAAGTTGTTGAAGTAGGTCCCGTGGAAGACACGGAAGAGAGACTCCTCCGCGCCCGTACACTCAACGGGCTCCTGCGGGGTTTCTACCGCGAACAGCTGGGACGAGGCAGGGCTCAGCTTCTGCTTGGTGGGGGTCTGGCAGCGGGAGTTGGCCTCTGGTGGAAAACGCACGTGTTAGGGCCAAACAGCAGCGAGAAGAGACCCTCGCGGCCAAAGCGGGCTAGGAGCAGCCCCTCCAGAGGTGCCCGAACGCAGCCGGCCTCGCTCCCTCCTCCTGCGGTGACACGGGGACAGCCCCTTGCGTTGCACCCTCCACCTCACAGTCCTGCCCCGAGGACGGCAGCTCCTCTGGGGCCTCGCTCTGGCCAGCGGTACTGGCCCTCTAGAGCACCGTGTCACCTTCCCCCACGGAGCCACAGAGCCTCCTAAGCAGGACAGCAGCAGCAGGGACAGCCCGAGGATGCACAAGCTGTTCCCTGCGCTGCTCTCGGGGCCTTGGCACGCTCCGGGGCACAGACTGGCCCTGCCCAGGAAGCCTGCTCTGCTGGGGGCACTTCTCACTTTTCCTCCCCTCACAAGGGGAGTACTCAGAGCCAAGGGCTCCTGGAGCTCCCAGCAAAGCGCTCGCTCTGCTTGACAACATTCCTTGTTCCAGCAGCGGCAAAGGGCAGAGCCTTGTGTCCCTCGTGTTTGTTTAAGGCCAGCTGTAAACACCAGCTCTGTTACTCCGCGCACTCCACACCCCTGGTGCAGAGACTGAGACGCAAGAAAGAGGCGCAACGGCGCCCGTTTGCTGTTACTGCTCATGCTGCCACGTGGGAGAGGGGTATCTCTAGAACAGCTTTGTACCCGAGGAACTGGAGGCCCACTCATTGCCCGTGTCTCTGTCGCTGTCTCCCTCCCTCGTCTCGGCGACCGTGGAAGCCGGCGTGTTGGAGCAGGAGGCGCTGACCACGTGGTGCCTCCGGCGGCGCCTGCCCGAGCACTTGGACCTGGGGTTGTGCAGCGCGGCGAACTCCTTGGCTCCTTCCTGCAGGCAGAGCGGGACATGGCACAGGGCAGCTGGCACGCAGCCGGGGCACGCGGACAGGCCTTGGGACAAGGCCTGCACCGCTGCCACCAAAGGAAGCAGCCATTTGTGTCACCTCCAGGAACTGCAAAGGCCCTGCCGAAAACCCACGTTGCTGCTCTGCTGGCCAGCAGGAACTGGCTCCCTGCACAGATCCAATCCCCCTTCTCCACCTTTTGCTTTGGCAGCCTGGCAGTGAAATGCCTCTGGTCTACTCTGCTTCAGCCCTGTGGCTCCCCCAAGACACTTGGTGCCAGCATCTCAGCCAGATGACCAGCCATGGCACCATGAAGTGCACCCGTCTCCCTGCAGCCAGATCACCACGTCTTTACTGCGGTTCTCATCTTGGAGTAACATTGCTAGGTTATACTCCTGAACAATCATTTTTTAAACTCATTTTTAACCTAGTTTTTTTTTTTTTTAACCCAGCACTGAGTCCAAAGAAGTCATCTAGCAGCATCATTTCCCATAATTTGCTTGCTAAGAGAATAGTCTTTGGCGAGAACTTGCTGAAGAAGGCTTCAAACAAGGTTCATAATTGATTTCAGGCTGCCCCCGAATCCAATGAGGATTAGGACTAGTTCTGAAAATCACCCAAGTTGTACAAAGGCCCCACATGGCTCTGCACTAAGGCTGGCCAGGCCTGCATCTCTCACGGTGCCGGGAGGAGGAACGCAGAGACCTACCAGCCAGAGGAAGCAGTCTGCCCCACAAGGGTCTGGCTCAATCTTGGTCTCTCTGTTCTTTCGCTTGTACACATTAGGAGTAGCATGAAAAGCTGGATACAAAAACAATAGTTATCTTTACTATTAGCATCCTCCAACAAGAGGTTTCACCACGCAGCACGGGACAGGGGCAAGACTAGAGGAATGAAGGAAAGAGGCTGCACTGGGGGGCTGATGCTGTCCCAAGTGCTACAGGAATAGATCTCCTAAGAGCAGAGGACAGTGGCTCAGGACCTCTTGGCCTACCCTGCACCATCGGCTTACAGCCAAGGCAGAACACTTGGAAAGCACAGGCCTTGGACTTGGAAAGGAAGCATTTCTGATCTGTTAAGAAATAATTCACTGGAGAGAGTCTTATGACTTTCCAAGAAAGCCTGTAGACCTGGGAAGCCCCAGGCCAAACAGTTAACCAGTATCCATGAGGTTTTGGCAGGGAAAACCACAGGAATATGACTAAGATGAAGCTGTAACTTCCAAAGAGGCAATTAAAAAAAAAAAAAAAAGAAGGAAATGTTCATGCCTTTCCCTGAGAAGCTTCTGCAAAATAAGAGTACAGTCTAGTCAGGGCAGTATGTCTGCCACAGACTGCCAAGAGGCTCAAGCACAGTGTGCTCAGCAACTATGAGGCAAAAGGGACTGACACACAGGCTGGTTTAGCATCCATCTGGGAAAGTGGTGGAACTGCATTTACAAATGGTTTTTGGGCCCCTGACAGCTCCCGAGGGCTGCACTGCCAAAGGCCAGAAAGGCTCCACACTCGAAAGACTGCAGCACGGCCACCAAGCAAGGTACAGAGAAGCAGAAAGCACGGAAAAGAGGGAAGAGAAAGGAACCACACAGAAGAGACTGAACTCACGATGCAGAAAACAGTCGTATTTGAAGCAGCGCCTGCAGAAGAGAGTGTGGAAGGAGTGCAGGGATTGCTCCCGCTGCACGGACTTTGCACAGGGACCATCTATGTTGGGAGTGCACTGCGGGGGCAGCACATTGGGGTCAGAGACTTCTGTGAGCTCTCGGTACCTGTTTAAAAACAGAAACACAGATAGGCAGGCTTTCTTATTTTGGGAAGCATTAAAGGGTTATATACTACTACAGACCTGCGTGACCCTGGCCTAGATACTTTGAGGCTAAGCTAAACTAGTTGTCAAAAATCTTTCTGCTCAAGAACCCCCCTAGCATGTTCTTTTCCAAGGCTACTGAGCTCTGCTTTTCAGCCAAAGCAGCGTTTTGGGTTTGTTCTTTTTAATGAAATACTAATTTTAACTGCCGTTCACAACTGTAACAGACAATTTAAATAGAGCTCTTCTACCTCTCTTTCATATCATCTGGGAAGCCATATTCAGGAAACATAGAAGAAATAGCAGTGAAGATCATGTCATTTGGAAACCGCTTCTTGGAACACTTCTTGTTACCTAAGAAAAGGAAAGAGAAAAAGAAAAAAAAAAGAAAAAGGAGAGAGACAATTCCTCACAGAAGCTGGATTTGAATATGTCTTTCCCTTTCTTTGCCAGAGAGTTTCTAATTGGTGTTCTGGATAATATTTTAAGAGGTAGAAATGCAATCACATATACAATGAGTAAGCCTTATTTTGTGCTGCAATTAGGTTAAGGCATTTCCAGATGCAGTACACTCCACCACACTTCCTGAGCAAAGTAGCACAACGTATTTATGGAATTACCAACAATATTTTTTTACAGAATATTACCACTTTTTTGTACCAAAAAAGGCTGAGACTAAATAAGAACCCTCTGTCGAATGTCAGAAGAGTCCTAGAGAGAGAAAGGCCCACCTTCCACTGCAATTCGTTTTCTTTTCCTCGTGACTGGCAGCTCCTCCTTCCCGTCCTCCTGTTTAACGTCAGAATCGTTGTGTCCTTCCTCTTCCTCATCCGAGTATTGATTCAAGGCGTTCACTAACTCCAGGAATACAGCGTCGCTGATGAGCACCGATCCTGAAATCATTTCTGAAACACAGCAGTCAGCACCACCACCTTGCACCGTCCAGCCAGAGGACAATGTTAGCAACTAGAACCCTAGTAATTCTGCCAGATAGGTGTGAGGGAGAGCTGATCTTAACGCAACAGGCCTAAGACAGTGGTGAATCATTTTTAATAATTCAGTGATTATCCTGTTCGCAGATGTTCTTTAAAGAAGCCAGCTATGGAAAGGCCACCACAGAGTCTTTGTATGGCCTTCCTCCCTCTAGGCAGAGCCTTATGATAGGCTAGGTAGCTCTGTAAGGAAACACACTGGCTTTTCATCTCTGTAAAGCCCAAATTAAGTCTTGGTTCAGATCACAAGCGAAGTAATTGCTGGGCTTGTCTTACCCTCTAACACATTTGTCTACATCCCAGAACAAGCCTGGGAACCCTCACAAAAGAGCGTCTGCTCCAGAGCATCCCAGGCCTAGAACAGAGCAGGATATCAAAAGGCAGGACCATGCCTGTGAGAAGCAGAAGAGCAGGCAAGTTCCTGTTTTTCTACTCCCAGAACTCTCAGAGAAAAGCTGGTTACTGCTGCCACCTTTTGACTTCTTAACTGCTTTGATATCTTATTTGCAAGAGTTCGGACCATTCTGTGTGTTCTTGATCCTAAGTTACCTTCCTCTCCATGAACTTTCCCATCATAGTTATTAATAAGTTCTTCAATGAAGGTTTCATCTTCTTCCTTCACCTCATCTCCCATGTAAGGAATATTGCACAGAACAGTTTCATCCTCCACCTGAAAAGAGATTGGACACAATTCAGTAAAGGAGCACCTGCTGATTCCCTACCAGGCTGCGTCTCTAGGGCTGCTCCTGTCCATTTGCACATGCAGACAACACGATGCTGAGCACGGCTCAGCCTCCCCGGATGAGGTTTCAGATGTCTCATCACGGACACTTCATCGTTACCCTATGCCAACAGCGTAACTCTGACCCAAAAAAGCACATGCTGCTTAAAAGGGAGCAGTCACAGCACCGAGGCTAACAAACTCAGAAGCAGATAAATAGCCAATAATAATAAACAATAATAAAATGAAAAAGAGATTGTGATTAGAACTGGAAGGGCAAAACAGTGACTGGTTCCCAGGCAGGATAAAGCTCCCGCGTCACCACACAGCGTTTGGCTCCTTTGCCATATCCCCCCGCACTGATTCTTGCTTCACAGTTGCTCTTGCCACACAACAATCTGCGTGTGGCTTCAGAGGAGACCTGCACGTTGCAGAAATACACTCCCCCCAGCCCAGAATAGGGGCAGGTTAGCCACAGACTACCTGTTTAGCACATGATCTTAACTGGGCAGCCAGGAAGGACAGAGCGGGGCTGCTGCACCAGAAGCTGCAGGAGATCTACCTACCTGCCTAGAAATGAACCTCTTCATTTAAAGGGGAAGAAAAATCCAATTAAGAAATGAAGCATTCACTCTTTGAACGTTGTGAAATAACAGTGGCCCTATCAAGATGTCAGGTATAAAGGAGAGACTACACAGGCAAGCCAGCTTGCACAGAAAGCTCTTGTGTGGAATTCAGCAAAACAAACAACTAAAATAGTACTTTCCATCATCTCTTGAGGAGACACGGTTTGAAACAAGTGGGCTGAATGAGCTATAATCACTCCACAGCTGTGTAGTGATTACACTTTAATCTCTCAAAGACCCTGCACCAAAGCACTTTCTTACATACCATGAAATTCTGCTGAAGAGGGGACCACGAGTACATAATAGGCACCAATGCCACTGTGTTCAGGGTTCTCATGTACAGTGTCTGACTTGGAAATCCTGGAAAAATGCTCTCAACAGTGCACTGGAATATAAGCAAACAGAGGGACAGTGAGGGAACAACACCTGCAGTCACAGCCAGGAGGAAATCCCACCAGAGGACAAACACAGCTAAGCCCTGTGCTCGCTCACGCTGAAGCCTTGACTCTAAAACCTTTTGTTTTTACAATATGGAAGAGTCCTAGGCACAGTCTGATCCTGACATATGGCAACGCAAAACACAAAGATTAAGGATCTTCAAGCCCCCTGCAAAGCCGTAGTTCTAGGCAGCATCTGTGCTGCTTTTGCTCTCTCCTCCATACCTGCTTTAGGAAAGGGTGTCCGCTGACCGGCTTCATTAACTGCACTGGTTGAACGCGAAGCTTCTTCCAGTCTTCATTCAGAATTTGAGTTTTTTCATGAACCTTTGCAAAATTGGCCACAAAAAGAGCCTGAAATGAGGGAAAGACATACTCAAAATTTTGAAATGTGCTTGTACTATGAACTAATGTGAAATATTCAGGCAAGATCCTTTCAGCTAGAACTACCCTCATAATGTCATTACCTTAGCTCCCATATTTGCCTGAAACCTCTTGAGCTGACGAAGACGCATATATTCTGACTTGACTTTTCTTTTCCAGTATATGATACACTTGGATGTTGCAGGAGCAGTGATTTCCATTTTTCTATAGAAACAGGGGGAAAAAATCAAACAATGGGGATCTTAATCTTATAAACAAGTGATATTAAAAGAAATCCATGCAGATTTTAAACGATCGTAGACTTTAACTAGGAAAAAGATAATTACATAAATCTGCGCTAGTCCTATTTAAGGAATAATTACAGTAAATTGCACTGAAAAGCCTGGAGAGCTTTTGCACGTAAGAAGATGCACTCCACTAAGCAAGCTTACAGGGATCCAGCTGCTTATGCCCAAGCCGGATCGCCGCGAATCCCCTGCGGATGAAGTGTTTTTGGGTGTTCCCGTTTTCCATTTGCCCGGGGCACCGAGAGAACAAAATAACGACATCGTCAGCGACATCATCAGCCCGGCTGCACCGAGCCGTCACTTTCTCCCCTTGGCAAGGCGCCAGGAAGGGCTTTTGTGTTGTTGTTGTTTACGTTTTCCAGTCCTTCCCCTCGGAAACGTCCTCCAGGAGGAGGGGAGCCGGGACTTCCCCCCCAGCTGCGTTAGGACCCGCTCTGCGCTCCCGGGACGGGCGGCAGCCCCGGGGCGACGCGGCCCCGCGGGGACCAGCCCCGGCGGCCCGGGGGACCCCTCCATCTCCAGGGATGCATCCCTGGAAACGCAGCAATCCCGGGGCCCTTCCTGCCGTCCAGGCGCGGCGCACGAGC